TTCCTGTCTGTGTGCACACACGGGAGCATCTGCTCTGGCAAATGTGGGGAAATGCTGCTCTCTCAGCTGCTCAGTGCCTGAGACACCTCCGTGGGTCAGGCCTGGCAGCAAGGTTAAGGCCTGAGATACCATTGCAGCTAAATCTGTTCCTGTTATTTCTTTGCTAAATTGTTCAGTTCAAGGTAGAAAAGCAGGAATGGCTGGGAGAAGCAGAGACACTGCTCATGGCCCCAGGTGGAGCAGGGCAGGAGCGGGGCTGTCCTAGGGGAAAAGGCGGCCCTGGGGCGGGACTGGAGGCGGTCAGAGGATTCCAGAAGGGTTGGAGGGTTCTGGAAGGGTCTGGAGGAGTTTGGGAAGCCTCTGGATGCTGCTGATCTCAAATGCCCCAACTGAAGAGCAGCAGAGCCAAATGGGCAGCGTTTCAAGGCACGGAGCAGTCACGGGATGGGATGGGACGGGACATGATGGGATGGGATGGGATGGGATGGGATGGGATGGGATGGGATGGGATGGGATGGGATGGGAACTGGGAGTGATCCTGAGATCTGCCAGAGTAAATTTTCCAACACAATGGGAAACATTAGAAAGTAGGAATTCTTTGCCTCCATGTTGGAAAGGATGGATAAATATAATTGCCTGGCAAAAGATTCAGAATACTACAGCCAGGATGAAAACAATCCCCTCTACTGGCTGGACAATACCCTTACCTACAGATAAGTCCAAAATTCAAATGGACTGTTCTATCTCAACCCCCAAAATGTATGGTTCATCCCACACCTCTATCCCTCCCCTGAAACATCAAGTGTCTGTAACCCCATTGGCCCACGTCTTGTTCCAGCCCACCTTGAATCTCCTTGAAAAGGGGTCCCTGAGGAGTCAGACACTCTCTTGGAATCCCCGCTCTCTTGGTACTTCCACCCTCTCCTGGAGCATCCTCTCTACCCCTTGTCTCTCCCCTCCCCCATCCCCTCAGCCCTTACCACGTGCTGCGTCTGGCAGCTCCAAGCAAGACCTTTCACCATCCCTAATAAACCTGATATTCTAAGAGCAGCCTTCAGAGATCTCTCATCTCCATTCATCAAAGCTCTCCTGGAGCACAGCTTTCCCTACACCTCCACAGGACAAAGAGAGGGTGTAGAAAATTGCTGCCTCTCCTGGACGGTTTGAGTGAATGTAGACAGAGATCTCTCAAGGCTGCTCTTGGGGAATGAGGTTTATTGGGGATGCAGAAAGGTCCTGCCTTGTGCTCCCAGACGCAGCAGTTGAGAGGGTGGGGGAGGGAAGAGACAAAAGGATGCTCAAGGAGAGGGGAAGTTGTAAGAGAGGGGAGGGAGTTCCAAGAGAGCGTGTGGCCCCTCGAAGCCCCATTTTCAAGGGGCTTCAAGGTGGGCTGGAACAAGGCTCGGGCCAATGGGGCTACAGGCACTTGATGTTTTAGGGGAGGGTACAGGGGCGGGGTGAACCGTACATTTTGGGGGTGAGATGGAACAGTCCACTTGACCCCTGGACCCATCCGTAGGCAGGGGTGTTGTCCGGCTAGCAGGGAGGACTGTTCTCATCCTGGCTGTATTATTTATGGATAATCATATTTATCTATCTTCCGCAACAATTCCCCCATTTTGTTAAACCATTTGAAAGCTAAAAACTGACTTAATTACTTTTTTTTGCACACTCTGAGGTATATAGGATATTGCTATTGAAACTACACTTATTACTTTTAAAACAATTAAATCTACTTCACAGAGTTCCTTCAGCCAAGATGCAAAGCTCAAACCATCAGATAGACTGTTTAGCTAGATTACTGATTATAGTAGAGGCGGCATTTATTTCTTTACTGAGCCAACATTTTAACTTGTTTGACTGCTTTAGTGTAATGGAAGAATTTAACTGAGTTAGCATTATCAAGACCTTCTGGGGAAGGTTCTCTAATTGAACAGGTTGAAAAAGGTATGTGTCAGCTAAAGAGATGATACCAGAGCCTGCAGACTTGGCTCAAGCAACCCAGGCATTTGTCTTTGGTTGGTTTGCAGGTAAAACTTCAATGTAAAAACTAAAACAAAAGAACAAAAGCAACAACAAGGGAACAAAAGCAACATGCACGTGCAAACAATAAATCTCCATTCTTTTCTCAGGCTGTCTTTGGCAGATCATTTCTTCTCGGCTCTGCACAGTTCAGGTCTGAGTACCCGCTTTTTGGCTTGCACTTGTAGAAGCACTGCCTGGTGTTGGGGTGCTAGCAGATTTCGGTGCATGGTAGGGCTTCACATTCTTTGCTGGGACCCATTTGAATCCTTCACCTGTGAAAACACAAGCAAACCATCTCCCCCATGTTACAAATTTGCATGGACCTTCTATTTGTCCTGGGTCTAAGGTTTTGATTAAGACTGAGGGGTGCCCTTTTATTTTTGCTCTTTCGTTGTTCAGAAAATATCTATAAATCAAGGGGTGAGACTCTCCTTCAGAGCTATTTAGAAAATTGTGAGCATACAGAGCCTTACTCAACCTCTTTTGAGGTGCAGCCTGATAAATTCCCCTTTTATGTTTTAATAAGCTGCATTTTAGGGTTTCATATGTTTTTTCTATGGTACTTTTCAGCAGTTGTTTACCATAGGAAGGGGAAATACCAGCATCATTTGCTGCTTTTGGGAATTTTTTCTCATCCTGAGATGGGACAACTGTCCATTCTCTGGGACCACCAGCTTTCTGGCTGAGTGCCACAGGCATGGACTGGGGATTCAGTCTGTCCTCTTTGTGAATATCACGTCTGAGTCCATGCCAGGCTATCAGTTGGCGATTGTCAACACCTCTTTGGGAATTCTTTGAAATCGGGGTAGTATCAGCAGAGGTAGCACAGGTTTCTGTGTGTCCTGTATTTGTCAAAGCACTGCCAGGTTCCATCCTTCTCCCTCTCGCTGCGTGCCAAGCTCTGCTGGGGTACTGTGTGAACCGGATGAAGGAGCTGCTGGTAGATGAGACAGTGGAGCAGGGGGAGTGGAGGCTGCCAGCAAAGCCACATGGGAAAAACCCAGAAGTGCAGAGGGATCTCTCCAAACTGGGGCTGCAGAGTCACGTTGTAGTACTGCTGGCAGACTGGCTGGAGGGTTGGGGGGGGTTGTAGGCTGTGGTTGCAGAGAAACTGCTGGTGGCTGTAGGGCTGAGGTTTCCAGAAGCTGTGAGGGTGGCGGTGTGGGAGGAACTATGTGTGATGTGGCTGTAAGAAGTTCTGAGCGTATCCACCGCGCGGAGGGACCCAGTGGCGAACCCAGAAGTGATGCTGGTGGCCCCGGCAGCGGCAGCGGGGCCCCGGCAGCCAACTCCGGGGGCCTCGGCGCCGGCACAGGAGGGCGTGGGGATGCCAGCTGGGCACAGACCGCGGCATGGGGCGCGTGGGAAGTGGGGAGCTGCATCAGAGGCACCGCAGGGGCGGCCAGACGGGGGGAATTGCGACTTGTGCATGCGCAGGGGCCTGCGCAGCAAGGCATCATGGCAGCCGCATCTACCTCGTGGCTGGGGGGCTCTGGGGTCGGGGCCGTGCCGCCAGGGGACTGCCACATATTCACGGGTGCAGGGGGTGGCAGGGGCACGGTGCGGGGCCCCGGGGTATCCCCCTGTTGTTGGGGGGGCTCTGGCTGGGTGGCGGCGGCGCGGGGCTTCCTGCCGATCGCCGCTGTGGCGCCGGGACGGGGGGCGTTGCCACGGCGCAGGTGGCGTCTCTCCCCAGACCTCGGGGATTCCCG